TTCTTAGAGACATCCGTAAGAATCCCTAAGCCCAAGCACTGCTTTGGGAAAGACTGAGGTGTAGCGCCGATCCAGCAAATCCGCACGGACCTCCGAGAGTTTCTGTCTATGTTTTTGGTTTCTCTTAATGACTGCGAAGGAAGCGGGGTCGATTGTGCCGACATTCGGGCGTGAGCTTCCGCGTGAGGTCGCGCGTGAGCGCCCTCGTCTCCACGCGGTTTGCCGCGCTGGCGGCCCGCGTAAGCCGAGGCGTTCAGTCGCTACTTCATCTTGCGTAAGACCCTTTGTCGCAGGCGATGTTCTCCCCCGATCCTCAAGCAGTGGCGAGGCGGCCCACCAAATAATGTTCTCAGAACCTTTTGTGGTTTGCACGAGATGTTCGGACATTTCTCGCTGGGGCTGTCTTGTTTGACCCATCTACTTCCAGTTCTAAGAACATTTGTTTTGGTGGTAAGAACATGTTTGGGTTCTAAGAACATGTCGTGGTAGGCCTATAGGAATGCCGGGACGGTCGGCCCCTGCTCAAGATCCCCGAGTTCCGCCCGGAAAGTTAGGTCGTTCGGAAACATGGGGGGGAACTCTGGGATACGCCCCAGTGGGGCCGCATATTCGGGCGCACCTCCATCGAGGACGGACGCCCCTCCACCATTCCATCATACGTATCCCGGGGTTGGGTCCCAGTGTTTTGGTCCCTTCGAGAGCCCCACGAGGCCTGAGATAGTCTTCGTCGCCTGCTCGTCGATCTTCGTCGCCCTTTGTAGTGGCTGCGTCCCTGCAGGGGCCCGCGGGCCGCGGCTCGGGGCCCCCGCCCCGCGGCGGCCGGGAACACGCGACGGCCCGCTCCCCCACCCGAGTCTGGCGGTGCCCGCGGGTGTGCTCGGGCGCGCCTCTCTCGCGAGGAGGAGCGCCCCCCCCCCTACCCTAGGAGTCCAGGGCTGGGTCCCCATTTGTGGGTGTCGATCGACAGCCCCACGAGGCCTGGGAGGGGGGTCGCCGCATCCTCCCCCGTGCTCGTGCATTCTCGCCGCCCGTGTGATGGCTGTGTTCCCCCAGGGGCCCCCTTCCCCACGGTGGCTGGAACATGTGACGGCCCGCTCCCCCACAGAGTTTGGCGGCGCGAGCACGGGGGCAGGGGGAGGGGAAAGGCTTCTCAGAAAGGGGGCAGCTTCTCAATGGAGGGCGCTGGCCTTGCATCCACAGACAAGGCCCGCGCCTTCTCAGCAGCACGGTGCTTCCAGGCAGCCTTCCCCCCTCCCCCTACCTCACTCAGCGCGTGGCTGAAGAGTAGCGGTGGCCATGCCATGTGACAGATAATGTTAGCCAGTCCAGGTGAACCATTCGAAGACCCTCCCGGACGGGTCCCACCGGGAGGGTTTTCGGGAGGGTTTCGGGAGGGTTTCTGTAGTCTTGGAGGAAACCAGTCCCGAGCGAACCCTGGACTTTCTGAAGCGAGGGCCGTGACTGTATCGTCGTACCCTCTCTCCCCTCCTTCCTCTCCTCATCCGCTGTCCTTTCGGCCTCGGCATTGACACTGAGACTCTTTGCCTCCGAAGAGACACCTCTATCTTTCTTCTCCTGCGGATGTCGGGCGGGGTTGGCTCTCTGATCCTTCCCTCCTTCACGAGGTATCGTTCGACATTGGATGTGTTGACCTCCCAGGAGCGCGTTGGAGGGCTCAGCGACAATGATTGGGAGCTTCTTTGTGCCGAGGCAGACGACTCGGCACACACGCACACACACACACACACGCACACGCACACGCACGCACACACACACACACACACGCACACACGCACACACACACAACACACACACACACGCACACACACACACACACACGCACACGCACACGCACACGCACGCACACACACACACACACACACACACACACACACACACACGCACGCACACACGCATGCACGCACACACGCACACACACACACACACGACATTCGGAGGCTGCGCGGATGTCTCGGATCGGCGCCGGGCGCCCTGGCGGCGCCTCCAGCGTCCTGGCGGCGCCTTCAGCGCCGGCAGTGGCGAGCTCCGCGCGCCAGGGATGGGTGTCCAGCGCCGAGCCCAGAAGTCGGCGCGGACCTCCGGAAGTTTATGTGATGCAGGTCGTTCTTCTCCCATGAAGAGCTCAGTGGCAGTGAGGGAGAGCCTTTTGGTGCCTGCGAGGGGTCTCCTGCGGGTTTTCGGGCCTTTGGGGTTCTTGCGGCCCGATGTGAAGCACAGATGAAGCACATGCAGATCGACTGCACACGGAATCTGCGTTGAATTCGAACCAGTTGTGCAGTACTTATAGGTTTGATATGAAGCAGCCGTGAAGCACCCCTCCCGCCACCACCCTCCTCATTGGCCGCATGCCGTTCGTAGCGCACACGACATTTCGGTCGATTCACATCGAGTCCACATGCTGCGGTCAGCGCTTCGAGGGAAAGCGCGGGCTTCGGCCGGATCGCGAGGGCCTAACGGCCGGTGCCGCCGACCCTGAAGGGGGACGACGACGACGACGACGACGACGACGACGACGACGACGACGACGACGACGACGACGACGACGACGACGATCGCTCTCGGGGGCCTCTCCGAGGTAATTCTGGGACCTCTCGGGAGGCTCTCGGGGGGCCTCTCGGGAGCCTCTTGGGGCCTTAAGCCCTGACCTTCCAGAGAGCTATTTTTTAGCACTGGATGCCTACCCACCTAAACAACTACACGAAACAGCCTAAAACCACGACGTAGAATAGCTCTGGGATAGGTTTTTAGGTCGGGTGCTATTTTTAAGCCCTCCTGGAAGGTCAGGGTGGGGGGGGGGCCTCCTGGAGGCCTCTTAAGAGGGCCCCCCTGGGAGCCTTGCAGGGCGAGGGCCCGGAAGGGTCCGTGCGGGCCCCCGTGCGAGGGCGGCGGCGCCGCGAGGGAGCCCCGCGGAGCTCGGCCAGCGCTGGGGCCCGGCGCCCTCGGGCCCCCGGCCCTCGCGGCCCTCGGGGCAGCGCCGACGCGTCGGGGACTTGCGTCGGGGGCGGCGAAGAGGAGGAGGAGGAGGAGGAGGAGGAGGAGGAGGAGGAGGGGAGGAGGAGGGGAGGAGGAGGAGGGAGCGGAGGTGGAGGCGGAGGAGGAGGCGGAGGCGGAGGAGGAGGAGGAGGCGGAGGAGGAGGAGGAGGAGGAGGAGGAGGAGGAGGAGGAGGGGGAGGAGGAGGAGGAGGCAGAGGAGGAGGAGGAGGAGGAGGAGGGGTGATGACTAGGGGGGGGTGGATATCATGGCGGTGGCCATGATATTTCCCAGATTTCATGGCGCCTCTTCTTATCTCATTACGTCCCTGGCCCCCTCGCTGGGCCGTGCTCATGCCTCCGGTCATGATTGGCACCCCCCCCTCTTGGACACTCCCCTCTTGGCCGCTCCCGATTGTTGCTCGTGTTACTCCGGAGGGAAAGAAACACACAGACACAATGAATCGTCAACTCCCCAGAAGATATTGGGAAATATGGGAAGTGGTGGGGAAGACAAAAGCCATAAACATATGGAGAAAGATGGGGAATCTCTTTTTATTTGTGTGTATTCATTTGTGTGTCCCTGGGCCCCTTCAGTTACGTCGGGCCTGTCCCTCCACGGGAGGAAGATGCAAAAACAGTAAACGCATAGTCTGGGGGCAATGTTTGAGCACGTGTCCCGTATCTTTGGATCTGTTTTTTGCATTTTGGTTTCTGTCTCAGAATCCCGCTGCAGGGGAAGCTGCCCGACCTAAGACTTGTACCTGCGCGCACGTGGCACCCAAAGCGATGCGGCCGCCAGCACACCCGGACCCCTTCGAGACATGAAACAATCACGACGGGAGGTTTTTCGCTGTCTTCGGCCTCCGGGGCCCCTTTACCGGGGCTCGGGGCCCTCAACAAACGACTCAGTCTCAGAAACCGGTCCCGGGCAATGGGTCGCTGTGTGGGCCCCGGAAACGGCAGGGCCGTTTTTCCTCCGTTTCCAGAAGAATGTCCGTTGAAAATGGAAACGGCAAAAAAACGGCGACCGGAAACGGCAAAAAAACGGCTCCAGCATTGGAACCGGAGCCGGAATTGGTCAACAAACGGCGACGGAACCAGTCACAAAAACGGCGTCGGAACCGGCAAAAAAACGGCAGAACGGAACCGGTCAAAAAACAGCCCTGTCGTTTCCAGGGCCCGATCTAAGGTCCCGGGGAATGGGTCGAGACCTCTGCGGACAAACGTAAGTCCTCAAGCGTTCCGAGGAGTTCTTGCCCACGAAGCCGCCTCCCCAGGCCTCCCACGGAGGCACAGCAAGCTCCGCAGAAGGTCGGAGGGGGCTCCTGGGAATCCACGCCGCCTTCTGAGAGGGCCTCCTCCTCCTCCTCGCTGCCCTTCAGAGAGCTATTTCTTAGCACTGGAGGCCTAACAACCTAAAAAACTAAACGAAACAGCCTAAAACCAAGACGTAGAATAGCTCTGGGATAGGTTTTCAGGTCGGGTGCTACTTTTTAGCCCTCCTGGAAGGTCAGGGTCGCTGCCTCCCCCCCTTGCTCGCCGCCGAGAGATCCATCGTGGCGAGAAGAGCACTGCAACGTCGCGAAACATCGCGACCAGAGCTCCAGACACCATCTCGCTGCGCCATCCTTCCAGCCGGGCCGGGCTGTGCAGGTCGGGGGGTCCGACACCACGAGATCGCCCCTTGTGACACAGGTGCGGCGCCCAGATCCCCAGACCCCCGACGTCAGGATTGTTTCATGACGCTGTCCCCCAGAGGTCTCGACCCCTTCCCCAGGACCGGTTCCTCATCCTGAATCGTGTTTCGACGGTCCGAGGGGTCCGGTGAGGGCCCCCCGAAGCCGAGAATAGCGAACAAAACTTCCCGTCGTGATCTCTCATGACTCGAGGAGTCGAGGAGCTCCCAGACCCCGACGTCATGATTGTTTCATTACGTCGACCCCCAGAGGTCCCGACCCTTTCCCCATGACCCGCTTTGCATCCTGAGTCGTTTTGTTGACGCTCCCGAGGCCCGGTGAGGGCCCCCGGAGGCCGAAAATGACTCGAGGGGGTCTGGGCTCTGGGATCTCGCAGGGCACGCTCTTGGGCCCCCCAGGTCTGCCGGCGGGGGCCCGGCGCACGGCGGCGGCGGCGCCGTGGCGAGCGCGGGGCCGCCGGGGGAGCCGAGCCCTGCCGCGCCGCCCGCCGCCCGCGCGGCGGCGGAGGCGGCAGGCCTCTGCGGCGGCGCGGCGGCACGGGCGCCGGCGGCGGCGAAGGAGCAAACAACACACAAAAACACACACAGTAGGAAAAAACACAACACACACACACACACACGCAAACACCAAAAAAAAAGAACACACACACAAACGAAAACACACAGAAAAAACACAAAACACACAGACACACACACACACACACACATACACGCAAACACACACACACACACATCACACAAACACACACACACACACCACACACACACACATCACACACACACACACATCACACAAACACACACACACACACACACAAAACGCACCGGCGGCGGCGAAGGACCCAGACCCTTCGCGTTGTGAAAACGTCACGACGGGAGGGTTGTTCGTTCTTGTCGGCCTCGGGGGGCCCTCACCTTGGCATCGCTCGGAGGTGTGCATGTTTCCTTCGGCGAGGACCATCGAGGAGCATCCTAGATCATTTGGCGAGAAAACCACGCACGAAGCCGAAAAAAACACAGGGAATGGACGTCCGAGCGATGGCGAGTCACCGGGCCTCGGGGCCGCCAAAAACCGACTCGAGATGCTGGTCCAGTGGACCCAGACCCCCGTGGAAACTCATGGCGGGAGGCTGTTCCGATTTTTCGGCCTCCGCGGGCCCTCACCCGCGGGACCGTCAAAAACGACACACGATGAGAAACCAGCCCCAGAGAATGGGTCGAGAACCCTGGGGGTCGACGCAATGAACAAAAATATGACGTCGGGGGTCTGGGGAATGGGTCCAGGCCTCTGGGGGTCGACGTTTTGAAAAAGTCACAAGTCCGGGGGGCCGTGCCCGCAGGGGTTTCTCCCACAAGACCCGGGCGCAGCAATTGTTCCACACGAGCGTTTCGCTAGGGCGCTCCTTCCAGTCAACCCGCGCAGGAAGGATGGGCAGCCCTGCCAAGGGTACCCCTGCATCATTGCCTCCTCGGTGCATCAATAGGCCACGTTCGCTGGCCGCGCCCCGCTCGCGAGGTGTCGACATTGCCTTCCAAGGCCCGTGCATCCGTATTCCGCGCATCCTTCCCAGACCCCCGACGTAATGATTTTTTCATTATGTCGACCCCCAGAGGTCCCGACCCTTCCCCCATGACCGGCTTTGCATCCTGAGTCGTTTTTTGACGCTCCCGAGGCCCGGTGAGGGCCCCCGGAGGCCGAAAATGAAGGAAAACCTCCCGTCGTGACTTTTTCATTACTCGAGGGGGTCTGGGTTGCCATACGGCTGGACTGTACCCGAGGAACAAGCAAAACCGAGACCCCCTCGGGTCATGACGGGAGGCTCTTCGTGATCTTCGGCCCCTGGGGCCCCTTATACCGGCCCTCGGGGCCGCCACAAAGTCAGCTCGGGACGAGAAGTCGGCCCTGGGGAAGGTATCGAGAAGCATGCCGGCGGGGCTCTGGGACCCTGACCTTCCAGAAGGGCTAAAAAATAACACCCGACCTAAAAACCTATCCCAGAGCTATTCTACGTCTTGGTTTTAGGCTGTTTTGTTTAGTTTTTTAGGTTTTTAGGTCTCCAGCGCTAAATAGCTCTCTGGAAGGTCAGGGAGCCGTGGTGACATGGACCACGGAGGAATCGCCCAGGGAGGACAGGGAGCCCCAGACCGCCGGGCCCTGCGGCCGTTTTGCAGAAGTCGCGCTCTCGCCCCAATGCCGGCCACGTTTTCGGCCCGGGCGGCTCCAGTCTTTTGCACAACAAGGCATCCAGGTGCACCTGGCCGTGCCTCGACCTCCTCCTCCCCAGACCCCCTCCAGTAAAGAAAAAATCATGACGGGAGGTTGTTCCTGATTTTCGGCCTCCAGGTGCCCTCACCAGGCCTCGGGAGCGTCAAAAAACGACTCAGGATGCAAAGCCGGTCATAGGGAAAGGGTCGGGACCTCTGGGGGTCGACGTAATGAAACAATCATTACGTCGGGGGTCTGTGTCCTCCTCCTCCTCCTCCCCGGCCCGCCTCTTCCCCCTTGCTGCTCGTAGGGTGCTCTGCCGGTGCACTTTGTCATGCCCGGCGTGAGCCCGCCTGGCATTTCGGGCTCTGGGATGATCGCGGGTCAACTTCAGGCTCGAAGGGTGGTGCAGAAAGGCAGGGGGTCCAGGGCTCCAGTCGTGATCTCTCGCGATGTCGGGTCTCGGGGCTCATGAGTCCGCAGGAGCTGCTCCTGGGCCAGGAGGCGCCGACGCACGCTCCGGCGGCCAGCCAGGTCAGCAGGGGTGCGGCCGCGTCCTGCGGAGGGCTCGCGGCCGACAGCGGCTACGCGCTCTGCCGGGGGCCGGCGCAGGCCCTGCCGTCGCCGGAGCCCGTGCCTCCGGGGGCGAAGGCCTTCGCGCAGGCGCTGCGCCGCCGGCCGCTGCCCGCGGAGCTCACCGAGGATCAGGAGGGAAAGAAACACACAGACACAATTAATCGTCGAGCGCCAGGAAAATATGGGAAAATATGGGAATTGGGCGGGAAGACAAAAACCCAGAAAATATGGGAACATATGGGGAATATTTTTATTTGTGTGTATCTATTTGTGTGTCCTGGGGCCCCTTCCGAGGAGAGGCAGCAGGAGCTCGGGGACGTGGTCTTCAACTGCGTGGCGGCCCTGTACGAGGACCGCATCCGCCCCGTCCTGGGCGCCGTGCAGCGCAGGCTCCGGGAGGTGCTGACCGCGGCGGGCTGGTGTGCGGGGGGCAGGGAAAGCGGCGGGAGCAGGCAGCTTCCCAGACCCCCTCGAGTAATGAAAAAATCACGACGGGAGGTTTTTCCTAATTTTCGGCTTCTGGGGGCCCTCACCGGGCCTCGGGAGCGCCAAAAAACGACTCAGGATGCAAAGCCGGTCATGGGGAAAGGGTCGGGACCTCTGGGGGTCCACGTAATGAAAAAATCATTACGTCGGGGGTCTGGGGCGGCAGGAGCAGGCAGCTTCGGAGCTCCGCGCGGATTTCCTGGACTGGCGTCGGTCCCCCCTCCCCAGGCCCCCTCGCGTGGTGGAAACATCGCGACGGGAAGGTTTTTTGGTTATCTTCGGCCTCCTGGGGGCCCTCCTGTAGGCCTTGGGGACCGTCAGAACAGGATTCAAGACGAGAAGCCCGTCATGGGGAAGGGGTCCAGACCTTGAGGAGTCGACGCTTTGAAGAAGTCACGACGCCAGGGGTCCAGGTCCTTGGCTCGCGGAGTGCCAGGGTTAAGTCGGGCCTGTCCCCCTCCAGGGGGAATACTCAAATATAGTTTAGAAAGAGTCGGGGGACGATGTTTTTCAACCATTTTATTGCGTATTTGTTTAATGTTTGTGGGGTATTTTGCATTCTCCATCCAAAATCCCCCTGTAGGGGGACATGCCCTACCTGATGTCAAGGCCGGCGCGCGCGGATTTTCTAGACTCAGGAGGGAAAAAAAACACAGACACAATTCATCGTCGATTCCCAAGGAAGTATGGGAAAGCATGGGAAGTGGGGGGGAGACAACAACCCAGAAAACGTGGGAAAATAGGGGGCATCTTTTTATTCGTGTGTACTTCTTTGTGTGTCCTGGGGCCCCTTCATAGACTCGGGCCGGACGAAAGGGGGGGATTGGGAAAGGGGGGGTTACGAAATTTGCTGCATGCAGCTGGTTTCGGCCCCACCGAGAGGCCCATTCCTCGATACATCGTCGCCTCCGGCGCCGGGAGGCGCCGGAAAAATCAGCTACGTGAGCTGATTCTCAAACCCCCCCTTTGCTATCCCCCCCTTTCGCCCGACCCGATAGACAGGCGCTGGGCCCCCCTCCGTGGCTCGCGGAGCGCGCCATGGGGCGGCGCCGAAGAGGCGCCGCCGGGGGGCGCGCCGTCCGCGCACGCCATGCGGCGGGCGCCTCCCCTGACCTTCCAGGAGGGCTAACAAAATAGCACCCGACCTAAAAACCTATCCCAGAGCTATTCTCCGTCTTGGTTTTAGGCTGTTTCGTTTAGTTTTTTAGGTTTTTAGGCCTCCTCGGGTCATGACGGGAGGCTCTTCGTGATCTTCGGCCCCTGGGGCCCCTTATACCGGCCCTCGGGGCCGCCACAAAGTCAGCTCGGGACGAGAAGTCGGCCCTGGGGAAGGTATCGAGAAGCATGCCGGCGGGGCTCTGGGACCCTGACCTTCCAGGAGGGCTAAAAAATAGCACCCGACCTAAAAACCTATCCCAGAGCTATTCTACGTCTTGGTTTTAGGCTGTTTCGTTTAGTCTTTTAGGTTGTTAGGCCTCCAGTGCTAAAAGATAGCTCTCTGGAAGATCAGGGTCTGCGGTTCCGTGGGGCCGTTTGGGAGCTTCTCGGGGCCGTAGACCCAGACCCGCTCGGGGAATGACAAAAATCATGGCGGGAGGTTTTTCCTGATTTTCGGCCTCTGGAGCCCCTCACCGGCCCTCGGGGCCGTCAAGAAACGACTCAGGATGAAGAGCCGGTCCTGGGGAAAGGGTCGGGACCTCTGGGGGTCGACGTCATGAAAAAATCATGACCTCGGGGGTTTGGGGACGCGCTAACAGCAATGTAGGTAACGGCGATGTAGGCTTCGGCATTGTAGGTGGGACTGGTTCGTGGCCAAACCAATTGCAGGACATGGTGGTTCGTGCTTTCCCACAATCCGCGCCGCCTTTTTCGCTCGATACATTCGCACATTTGAAATGCAGGAAAGTGTGGCTCGTGCTGTCCTACAGTTTTCAGAGCGTGAATTACCTACCCCGCTTTCGCTTCCAGGCAAAACCAAGCCATACCACGCGCCTCCTCGTCAAGCGGCCTGACCAGTACAGGCCGTGGTTTGGCATCGCTTGGTATCTCTTGGAAGCGCGGGTGGTCAAAAGCGAGGTAGGTTTGTTTTGCCCCTAAATTTGTTGTGCGCGAGCTCAGTGTCACAAAAAAAATCAGATTCCCAGCATCGGCGTCGAGCAGCATCGCCGTTAGAGCGTGGCCTTGGCGTGGCCTCCTGGGGGCTTCCTGGGGGCTTCCTGGGGGCCTCTCTGGGGCCTCTGGGGGTCCTCTTGCCCTGACCTTCCAGAGAGCTATTTTTAGCACTGGAGACCTAAAAACCTAAACAACTAAACGAAACAGCCTAAAACCAAGACGTAGAATAGCTCTGGGATTGGTTTTTAGGTCGGGTGCTATTTTTTAGCCCTCCTGGAAGGTCAGGGTTGGGGAGGGGGCTCGTGGGCGGTCTGGGCCTCATGGCCCAGCGCCGATCCAGGGGATCCGTCCGCGCGGGGCTCCGGAAGTCTGTGCCTTTGTGGGCCCCCGAAACGGCAGGGCCGTTTTTTCACCGTTTCCAAAAACATGTCCCTTGAAAATGGAAACGGCCAAAAAACGGCGACCGGAAACGGCAACAAAAACGGCTCCAGGACTGGAACCGGAGCCGGAACCAGTCACAAAACGGCGACGGAACCGGTAAAACAACGGCGTCGGAACGGGCAACGAAAACGGCAAAACGGAACCGGCAACAAAACGGCCCTGTCGTTTCCAGGGCCCACTAAGGTCTGTGCCTGTGCCGCCCTCGCGTCCCGCAGGCAGCGGGGCCCGCTGGAGGCCGACGTGCAGGCCATGGTGCTGCTGTGCGCGCGCGACGGCCGCTTCGCCCTGGATCCGCCCATGCTCGGCGACCCGCCCGTGGTGCGGCTGGCGGAGGAGCCGGCGTTTTTCAGGTCGCTGCATGGAGATCGCTGAAAGGAGGCATGTTTGGATGTCCTGATCCCCAGACCCCCTCGAGTATCACGACGGGAGGTTTCCTTTCAGTTTCGGCCTCTGGGGGCCCTCACCGGGCCTCGGGAGCGTCAATAAACGACTCAGGATGCAGAGCCGGTCATGGGGAAAGGGTCGGGACCTCTGGGGGCGACGTAATGAAAAAATCATTACGTCGGGGGTCTGGGGAGATCGCTGAAACGAGGCATGTTTGGATGTCCTGATCTCCTGCAGTGGCGCAGCGTCTCGGCTTGCCTGGAGGCCCAGCAAGGACTGCTCCGAGGATCTCTGTGTGGTCTGCACGACATGTTCTTAGAACGTTTCTGGCTGAGACCGCTTTGTGTACACATCTGCTGTATGTTCCAAGAACCTGGTTTTTGTGATTCGAACATGTCTGTATTACAAGAACATGTCGACGGCGGGTCCCTGCTCAATGATACCAATCTACTTCAAGCGCCTTCCTACTTCAGGGTCGAACGGTTGTCCCTCTTGCCTCGTCTTCAGGGGGCGGGCGGAAGCCCAATCGTTCTCTAACGCCTTCTCGCTTCACGTTGCTACTCACTTCTTCCGACCGGCTGGTAGTTGCAATCTGCCGTGAGGGTAACGGGTCCTGAGGGAAACAGGTCCTGATTGCCCGGGGCCGTCTTTCTCACCCCGAGTGATTTTTTTGACGGTCCCGAGGCCCGGCGAGGGCCTCCAGGGGCAGAAAATCACAGCATTTCTGTTTTTTCGTGCTTCGAGGGGGTCTGGGTCGAGTGCTGCTCCTCAGGGGCTGGGTGGACGTCGAGGCCCCGGAGGACACCTACAAGCAGAGCATGTGGGATGCCTTCTCGGCGTTCCTGGTCGGCACCGGCGGGGCGGCGCCCGTAAGCCTCCCCAGCGACCCGCACGCCGCCGCCCAGGAGCGGGGCACGCAAAGAGCGGGCCGAGCACAGACCTGTCGGCGGTCCTTCTTGCGATCGTTGTGTTCTTCCGTGCTTTGCCGATCGGCGCGGGCCCTGGCGCACCCTCTCCCCTCCACACCCCCCCTCCACCCCCCCCCCCTCCACCCCCTCCCCTCCACCCCCTCCCCTCCAGCCCCTCCCCTCCACCCCATGGAGTAGATCCTGGCGGTTTGGGCGCCTGTTTCGGGCAGACCTGCGATCGTTTTGTTTTTCCGTGTTTTGCCGATCGATGCCTCGTTGTGAGGTTGCGCCCCCCTTTTCCTCCCCCAGCTCTGGTTAATTCAAGCGTCGCGCGGCCCGCTCAGCTTCGACCGGAAGAGGTGCGCTCTCGACCCGCGAATCAGAAAAAAGTGTTTTGCCGATCGGCGCGGGCCCTCGCACACCCCCTCCCCTCCACCCTATGGAGTAGCTCTTGGCTGTTCTGGGCGCCTGTTTCGGGCAGGTGGGGTCTCCCCCACAGGACGCACGATTGCGAACAGTTGCGTGAAGCAGAGGTCGGGAGCCAGACCCACCCTCCTCCCCTTCCCTTCCGCCCAATGTCGAAACGCCGAGTGAGAAAACGTTGACCTTCAGAATTCTCGGATCTGCGCCGGGCCCCCCTGACGCTGCCTCTGGCGCCGCCCCTGGCGCGCTCCGCGCGCCAGAAAGGTGGGTCCCAGCGCTGACGCGAGGCATCCGCGCGGAGCGCCGACAGCGCACGGGCGCGCAGCTTGCTGGAGTCTCCTCTGCAGGAGCTGCACCGCCGCCAGCTCGCCTTCTTCCGGGGCCTGGCGCTGGGGGAGGTGGAGCACGTCGTGCGCCTGGCCATCGGCAGGCGGCGCCTGCTCTGCTACCTCGGCGACACCCTGAGGTCGGGGCGCATGGTGAAGGCGTCCCCGCATAAGGAGGCCTCCAAGGGCAAGGTTCGGGGGTGCCGACCTGCGGCGTGCCGTGCAAACGTCGTGCGCCCCAGGGGATGTGCCATCTTCGTGCTCCGCCTCTGCTCCACGGTCTTGTGCCGGATTGGCTTGCTTGCGGGGGTGGTGTACCATGACGCACTTGTCGGACGGGGGGGGGCTAGGACGAGAATAAATCCGTTCCGGAGCGTTCCCGAACGCTCTCGGAGCGTTCCCGAGCGTTCTGAGGAGGTCGCGGGTCCCGATACATCCTCCAGAGCCGCTGGGTCTCAGAGATTCTCGATTTATCCCCGTCCGAATTGATCCTCGTCCTGGCTTCGTCTTACCTTGCGGCAGAAGACCCTGAGCAGCTTGACGCAGTGACCATTGAGGCCACAATGGGGGTCACGATGGAGGGTCACGATGGGGGGCACGATGCGGGTGCCGGGATAGGGATACGTAAGGATAGGGATTGGGGTCAAGACACCCTCCAGATAGCAAGCCGTCTAGCTCACTCCCACCCGCCCTCCCAACACATAAGTAACACCCGGGCTTCAGCATGTTTAGCGGTCGTCTTTGGATGGGCAGCTACTGGGAAACAAGAGTGACCCCATGTGCGCGACGCTGGGGCGAGGTGCGCTACGCGTGCCAGGCGCGCCACGCGCGCCAGGCACCCTTGAAGCCCGAGCGTGCCAGGTGGTGCGCCAGATGCGCCACGTGCCTCCGCATGCGTTATGCGTGCCGCATACTCCAGCCGCGCCAGGTGCGCCACGTTCGGGGTACGTGCAGAGTGTGTCAGGTGCGCCTGCGCACGTGACAGCACAAATCGGAAAACATGTCTACACCCACCATCCTTGTCGAAAGCCAATGCCGATCATTGTGTCTGGTGGTCCTGCGCACAGCAGGTCATACGCCACCACTTGACAATAATCGCGGGGTGGCCGCGCATGATCCTGATTTAGCCGCGAGGTGCATCTTGTATTGTGTTTTGTCAGGGATGATAGCCCTGCGTGCAGCAGGCAATTTGCTGACACCCCCGCCGTCCCTGTCAAAAAAGAACACAAAGTGCTCGCGGGCCTTACGAACATGACTGCAGACTTTGTCCCGAAATGTATGTTGTTTTTTGACAGGGATGGGTTGGTTGCGCATGCTCCGAATTTGGAGGCAAAGTGCGTTGTGTATTGTTTTTTGACAGGGATGGTTGGGGGTGGGAGCATGATTCCTGATTGGCCGCCGGTCGCCTGGGGGGCTCTATTGATAGGGAACAGTGATGAAGATATAGATTTCAGGCCAGGGATCTAGGGAGAGGAATCGGGATGGAGATAAGGATGGGGATAGGCATAGGGATGGAGATAGGGACTTCGGGCCAGGGGTATAGGGAGAGGGCTCGGGATGGGGCTAGGAACAGGGATGGGGACAAAAGGGATACGAGGGGTAGTGTAGGGATAGGGCGAGAGGGATAAGGGGTAAGGATGGGGATATGGGATATGGATCTGAAGGCAGGGGCCACGGGAGACCGCGGGAGAAGATAGAGACAGCGGGAGGCAGCGGGGGACCACAGGGGACAACGCCGCCCGCCCGATTCTGGCTCTGGCATGGCATTCGTACGGATCCCTCCCAAAACTAGATATGGAGAACCATGGCAGAAAAATTGTTTAGGGAGACATCGTACTCCCAGAGGTTGTCGGGGGGAGCCGAGATTTGTGACCGGTTTCTTATTGTTCTGCCGATCGGCGCGGGCCCTCGCACCCCCCCCCCGGAGTGGATCTTGGCTGTTTTTGGTGCCTGTCTCAAGCAGGTGGAGTCTCCCCCATAAGACACACTCCTGCAAACAGTCGCACTAAGCGGAGGTCTGGAGCCAGACCCTCCCCCCTGCCCCCCCCTTCCGCCCAATGTCGAAACGCCGAATCAGAAAATGCTCACGAGACATCGTGTCCTCAAAGGTTGACGGGGTGAACCGAGGCTTCGAAAAAGCATGTCACGGCATAAACATAAATTTCGGGGGTTCGTGCAGGCTTCCTGGACCAGCGATGGAACCCCCATGGCAGCGCGGCAACGTTTTCAGCTTCACCCCTGGCGCGCGGAGGAATCGTTGGACGTCCTGGGGTCTGAGGATTGGGTTTCTTGTAGAAGTTTTCTGGTGGTCGAGCTCCTACTGTAAAGGTCGACGGGGTGAGCCGAGGGGATATCAGGGACGTTGAGGACTTGGTGCTGGTACTGCTATCCGTCATGGAGAAGTTCCCGGACGGGCTGCCGCTGAGCCTCCTGAAGCAGAACATTCTCGGGCAGTGCCAAGGGGGGAGGGGGTTCACCAGCCCTTCTCCTCTTGCGCCTCCTCCGCCTCCTCCTCCTCCTGCTTCTGCTCCTCCTCATCCTCCTGTCCTCTTCCCCTCCCGATAACGATGAAGACGAAGGCGTTCCTCCTCCTCCCCCTCTTCCATCCTTTCTTTCCCGTGCAAATGCATCCTCCCTGCCGCACCCCCAGATGTGTCGATATAGTGGGCTGGGTGTGCTGCTTGAGACTCCTTCGCCATTTTTTCTGGAAGCGTGGAATTTGCAAACGATGGTTCGTGCCTTAGCGTCGCGCCCAGCCGCGCTAATTTGTGCAAGAGCGTCACGGATGAAGGGCGGCGCTTTCTCAACATGTGGTTTTCGCCGTAGCGCCGCGCAAATTCGACCTGACATATGGCAACAGTTTCAAGGATGAAGGGCGGGTGATGTTCAAGATGTGGCTCCCGCCTTAGTGCCAGGCGCGTTCATCCAAACGTGTGCAACGGCTTCACGGACGGAGGCCGAGTCGTTTACAACACGTGATTTTAGTTTCGGTGTTGCACACTCGCTGTAAAGATGTCCAACACATTCATGGATCAAGGGCGGGCGGTTTTGTGAATGTGGCTCTCGCCATAGCGCCAGGCACAGTCGTCAAACACATGTGCTCAGGTCTCACAAATGAAGGGTGGCTCGTTTTCAACATGTTGATTTCGCCGTAGCGCCGCGTTCATCCGTTTATACAGTGAGCCACATATTCAAGGATGAAGGGCGGGTGGTTTCCAAAATCAGGTTCTCGCCCCAGCGCCGCGCGCATTTTGTATAAAAGCGCGCAGCCGTTTCACGGATGGGGGCGAGTATGTTTCAAAAGGTGGTTCTCGCCTTTGCGCCGCGCACGTTCGTTCCAACGGATTGCAGCAAATCAAAGATGAAAGGTGGTTGTGTTTCAGTATGTGGCTCTCGCCTCGGCGTCGCGCGCATTCGTTCTGAACATGTGCAGCAGTTGCAATGGTTCGTAGGGTTGAAATGCGAGGAATCGTGTTCTGGCAACGCAATGAATACCGTGAGGACGCAACAGTGACTTGATTTGCGGTGTTGGAGTGCCAGGGAGAATGTCAATTATGGCACGATTTAGAATTGCCCCGACGCGTCAGTCACGTGGATTGGAACGATTTCGGGTTCCCAGACCGTCGTCTTCAAATCGGACATTTCTCGCAGTGGAAATAAATCAAACCAGCCCTCTGGGCGTTGGTGGTCTAGAGAGCTTTCTCTTCCAACCCCCCTTCTTCCCCTTCGGGGAGGGGGGGGGGTTCACCCCCCCTCCCCCTACTACCCCATTCCCTGGACCTGGAGGGGGGGGGTCGCGAGGTGTCAGAGGGTCCGCTGGAGCCCAAGATGGCTCCAAGAGCGCCTCAGAGAGCCCAAGATGATCTCCAAGATGGTTCAGGATAGCCCAAGCTGGCTCAATATGGTTTCCAAGATGCCTGAAGAGGCCCCAAGACCGTTACAAAACGGTTCCAAGTTGCCACAGAGCCTTCCACGCAAGCCCCGGAGAGGCCAACATCCTACAACAACCTATTGAGTTTTTCCTTCTCGCCTTTTTGCTTCCGATGACTGTCCGAGGTCCCAAGATGCCCAATAGGGCCCACGACCGGCCCAAGAGAGCCCCCCAAGACGGCCCCAAGAGCGCCCAAGAGCACCCCATGAGGGGCCTCAGAGGCGATGTTGGGGGCGTCCCAGGGGGGATGCTAATTAAGGAACCCACATTATTTGCTCGAGCGGGGCTTCTTAGGCCACCAAGACAGCTCCAAGAGGCTCTCCAGAGGCCCCCACGAGGCTCCCAGCGGCATACAAGACGTCCCAAGAGGCTCAGAAGACCTCCAGGAGACCCCCAAGACGCCCCCAGAGTCCTCCAAGCAAATTTCCAAGAACCATCCCATCGATTCAAAAGGCCTCTGGCCTTCTGTTTGGCCTCCTCCTCCTCAACTTCCTCTTCCTCCTCTTCCTCCTTCTCCTTTTGTTTCTCTTCCATCCTCCGCCATGTTGGAGTAGGACGGCTTCCCAAGCCCTTAGTTTCTCGGTATGCTCCCTCATGTTTCTGATCAGGGCAGCTCGTGTGGGCATCGTGTCTACATGGGTTTCTCGCCTTTCGAGTTCCGATGGCCTTCCGAGGCCTCAAGATGGCTCTAAGATTGCCCACGAGGGTTTTGAGACAGGCCCAAGAAAAGGTTCAAGACGACGCAAAGAGCGCCCAAGAGCGCCTCAAGAGCGAACCAGGAGGGCTTCATGAGCTGACTTGAGATACTAAAATCAAACCCCTCCCTTCTCTGATCGATATGTTCCTAGATGCCCCCCAAGACGCCAACATTCGTTCAAGATGACATCCAAAGTTCAAGATATCCGATGTTGGCTCACTCTGGGAGTCTAGGAGCATCGAAGCAATGGTTGGCGTGCCGGGGCCGTTTGGGGGGTCCTGTGGGCCTTCCTTCGCCCTGACTCAGTTGGAGGGCCGCCTGAAGCCCTCTTGGGACATCTTGGGCGCTTCTTGGGCCGTCTTTGCGCCCGGATATCTTGGGGCTCTATTGGGTGCCGTCTCCGGGCGTCGGGCAGCGGAGCAAGCGACCACAAGAAAATCCTTGAAACATCCAAGGGACATCAATGATTTTCGCCCCCGGGGCCTCTCTCGGGGATCAGCTTGAAGCTCTCTTGGGGCGTCTTGGAAGCCACGCGAGCCATCTCGAAGCACTGGTCGGCGTGCTGGGAGCGTTTTGGTACCCACTGGCCCCTTCGGAGGGCCCTCTTTGCGCTTCAGGGCCCTCTTGAGAGCCCTTGTGGCGGGTCCAAGCTTGTTTGGCTACCCATGCCGCGCTGAGGCAGTGGTCCAAGCCCCCCCCGGGGCCTATACATGTGTGTATGTGTATATATATGTATGTATTTAATTATGTATTGATGTTCTGATTTCTGACCGTCGCCGCACTCATGCAAGGTCCCGAGTAGGCCGTCTTGGGGGTCTCTTGAGGCCGTTTTCAAGCCCTTTATTTCGTTGTATGCTCCTCCACATCCTGGATCAGGGCAACTCGCCTGGGCATCGTTTTTGGATGGGCTGGTGAGTTTTTTTTCCGTCGCGGGCGCAGGCGAAGGCGCCGGCAGCGTCAGCAGAGTTGGCTCAGGCTACGGGCAACCTAAAACTGGTGAGGTTACGCGAAGCGTCTAGACTTCTTGTAGGGCCCTGTGAAGCAGGAACTTGGAGGGAGGGTCCACTGCAACATCGTCGATGCGTCCTGGGCTTGCACGGTTCCTCCTCCCCCTCGTCCAGAGGCATCCGGAGAGCCTCCAGCAGTCTGCAAGAGGACCTCCGGAACCTCCAGAGAGGCCTCCGCGCAAGGCCTCCGGAAGCTCCCAGAGAGCCCGGCGAGGGCCGCCCCGAGGCTCCGCCGCGGCGGCCCCTCTGCCGCAGCGTGGCCGGCCGTCGACGAATGCTCCGCCGTCGGGGCTCCAGAGACTTAAGTCGGGCCCGTCCCTCTACAGGAGGAGTATTCAGAAAAAGTCCCAAAATAGTCTGGGGACTATTCTTTGGTATTTTTTTGGCCATTTGGGAATCTTTTGGGGGTCTTTTTTTATGTTTCGTCGAAAATCCCCCTGTAGGTGTACACGCCCGACTTAACCAGAGACGGGGTCCATGCAACCGGGGGTCAGTTAGAGCGCCGGGCCTTGCAGGATCCCGCAGGGCCAGGGCTGCACTGACCCTGGCTTGGGCGCAGGATGCTGCAGGATCCTGCAGGATTCAGGAGGGAAAGAAAGACACAGACACAATGAATCGTCGATCCCCCGAACATATAGGAAAAAATGTGGGAAGTGGGGGGGAAGACAAAAACCCAGAGAATAGGGGAAAAGATGGGGAATCCTATTTGTTTGTGTGTATCGAGTTGTGTGTCCCAGGGCCCCTTGAAAAGGATCTTGCAGGGCCTGACTGGCCCAGGTCCGGGCGGCCCCGGGGCCCGCCGGGCCCCGACGCCGTGCGATATGCCGCACCCCCCGCCTGGATTAGCCGAAGCTCCAGGGCCGAAGGCTCGAGGAGGAGGCTTTTGGGACGGCCGGGGCCGCCTCGCGGGGCCTCTGAGGTCGAGAGGGTCGAGGGGGAGAGGGGGTCGACGGGGAGAGGAGCCATCCTCGAGGGAGGCTTGTGCTATCTTGGCCCCCAGGAGGTCGAGAGGGTCGAGGTGGAGAGAGGGGATCCGTCCTCGAGGGAGGCCTGTGCTATCTTGGCCGGCTTCCGTGATCCTGGGGGGGGGCGCTCCGCAGCCGCCCTCGTCCTCTCTCCCTCGAGCTGCTGACGGTGAATTCGTACACACGCCACGCGCCTTTGGCTACCAGAGCGCGCGTGCAGATCGCGCCTGCCGCGCTGCGACGTAAGACTGACGAAGTTTGCCTGGGGGGGTCTGGGGGCTCCAGTGGGGCCCGACCTTTCTGGTGACGATCCCCCCTCGGCACTGCCTGGCATCCAGACGCACGCCCGCCGCACTCTCAGCGAGGCGGACCTGCAGTGCGGCAAGCTGGTCGACATCTTCAGGCTGACGCCCACCCCCGAGGAAGAGCATGCTGCACATACATGCGCTGTCGGAGGCCCCCGCGGCTCTCTTGGATCGGCGCTGGGCCCCACTCCCTGGCGCGCGCCAGGCCTCGACCTACAGGATGTTTTGGCGGCCTCGTGGACCGCTTTCGTTTTGATCTCGTTTTGCACCGACGGTGGAACGAAGACGAAACGAGGTAAAGCGAGCACGACACGAACACGGGATACGCCGCTCAGGTCGAGCCCTCTGGCGCGGGGAGCGCCCCCCAGGGGAGGCGCCGCCAGCGGGGCATGCAGGTCCCATCCAAGACATGCGCTCCTCCTCCTCCTCCTCCTCCTCCTCCTCCTCCTCCTCCTCCTCCGTAGCCATTTTGGCTCAAGATGGGTTGCTCGGGGGGCTTTCAGCCTCCGTGCTTCACTGGATCGCACTACCGTGCGCAGGCAAGA